ACAAAAAATTCCCTGAGTTCCTGATTGTTTGGACATATCCCATTTAGTTTCATCAACATCAAATAATTTTTTCATCAATCAACTCATTTGACATCAACATAAATTTTCATTTCATCTTTATATTTCAACTTTTGGCATTTTGATATCCTGGTTCTTTGGAATTTGGTGTGATCTCCGCAGTGGTTTTTTGAGGGATGCCGGGGGATCCAGGTGATCCTCTACCAAATGTAGTGGAGAGGAGTGGTGCAAGGAGCAATGGCGTTGGAAAAATAACGGGTAAGAGAAGTCGTAGTATTGGAAGAATGGATGGCAATTCTAAAGAGAGAAAAATGGAAGGTTGCGCAGAGGGCGTCAAGACTGCTGCGACTAACGGTGCTCAGGTTTATGATGTGTTTGGTTCGTCTGTGTCTGAGGATAGTGCTAGTGTAGTGTCAACAAGTAAAGTAAATGTGGTTAATAATAACAATTTACCAGCTAGTCCTGGTAATGATGATATAGAATTATTTTATGATGATACTCATCCTGGCCCTTTCATGGTCTATATTGATACAATCACTAAGAACAGTGCAAGACAACCTTTTAGTGTGTTTGACTTTTCCCGTCATGTAAAGTTCCTTGAAGTTAGAGATGTAATTTGTGTCACAAAGATAGGTTATGATAGAGGTAAGATTGTTTTTAAGACTGCACAAGCAGCAAATGCTTTTGTAACTGACCAAAGAATAATAGGTGCTGGTTACCAACCAAGAATTTTTGCTCACTTTCTTTCAAAGTGGGGCATAATTTTTCCGGTTGAGGAAGATGTGTCTGAGGACGAAATGCGAGAACACTTCCAAAGTGAAATACCCATATTGAAAATTCAAAGAGTCCAGAGAAAGGAGGGGGATGATTTGATTAACACCAAACGTGTTAAAATACTGTTTAAAGGTCTCACTATACCTGACAATATTGAAATATATGGCTGTGCCTTTATGAAAGTGCGTCATTTTATACCCTTTGCGCAATGTTATAGATGTTATCGATATAATCACTTTTCTAAACATTGCAAACAGCAACAAAAAACCTGTTCAACATGCTTCACCATCCATGATATTGGAGTACCTTGTGCTCCAGCACCAGTCAAGTGCTCGAATTGTAAGGATAACCACAAATCAACTGACAAAAATTGTCCAGCTAGGACTAAAGCTTTTAATATTAAAAGAGTTATGACCATCGAAAATCTCTCATATAACGAAGCAAAAACTAAATACCCACCGATTTTTAGAAATAGTTTCTACCTCTTAGATGAGGAATCGAATGGAGAATTCCCATCTCTTCCACAACCTAGAAATAACTCTTCGGGTATGGGTCATAGACCTACCCCCAACAACACGCAAGAATCCTCAAGTTACTTCCACAGAATTCAATCTTATTCGCGAGTCGCTAAAAACAATGCAAATAGAATACGGGAAGAAGAAAATGCTAAGAGAACACAACAGCAACAACGTGAAGCTCTTGCCCAAGGTGCTTCATACTCCTTGCCAAATGGCTCATTACTTAGTGCCTTAGAAAATCAAAAAACTACGGAATTTGAAAAAGTTCTTAGCATCATTACTGATCTTCTGAATAAAGCTTTAATCACTCCAAATGTAGTCAATATGGAATCAATGAGCCTTTTTAACAAAATTAAAGATGCAATTAACAGCAGTCAAGCGCAAATGGATTTAGGATTAATGAATAAGAGTCTGAAAGGACAAAATAATAATAATAATCAAAATTAATATATTATGCGAGTTTTACAATTTAATATACAGAGTTTGAATAATAATAATAATAAATGTCTGCTGGAGCTTTTTATGGAAAAAAATAAAATTGATATCGCATTGATAACTGAGACTTGGTTGAAAGATAACTCGACTTCTAACTTAACTAATTTTAATTTTGCTTTTAAAAACCGTCAAGACAGCTATGGAGGTGTAGGTATATATTTGAGAAGAGATATCTCTTTCTCACTTATCGACATCGACATTGGTGTTGAGATGGAAGTTTTAGGCGTAAAAACCTTGAATTTGAGAAATAATTTCATTTTTAGCGTTGTATACATTCCTCCGAATACGCAGAGGGGTACCTTCGAATTAATGGTTAATAGTCTTTTCACACATCTTGGACGTTTTGCTTTGCCGATAGTAGTTGGGGGTGATTTTAATGCCAGATCTGTAGAATGGGGTGATACGATCACGAACGCCCAAGGAGCTATATTGGATGATATAGCGTCATCTTGTGGTTTTTATTGTCTTAATAATGGTGAACCTACTTTCCGTCTCCAGGATAGACATGCTTCTGTCTTGGACTTAACGTTTGCAAAAAATCTCAATTTAACACCTACTTGGTCAGTTAATTCGAATAAACTTACTAATAGCAATCATTTGCCCGTAATTGTGGAATTCGGTAATAACCCTATCCCACCAAGGGCAACCAAAAGAGTGAAGAAAAGGGCAGTTTTAGAGGAGATGGCTAAATTAGATGTGGGTGGCTCCATTGAAAATTTCAATAACAAGGTTCGTGAGATTGTTAAAAAAAACACAATTACAATAGATGCACAGAATAAATATGTCCCGAAAATGTGGTGGAATAAAGAAATAGAAAAGCTGTTTAGGTTAAGACAGGCTGCAAAGGCTAAATATTTTAAAAGCAGGACCCTACAAGACTTAAGGACTTTTACAGAGGCAGAAGATACTCTTCGTAAAAAGGTACAAGATTGTAAAGTTGAGAACTTTGAATCGGTGGTTAATGAACTCTCCAGTAGTACTTCCACCAAACATTTCTGGAGAACGATTAGAAATGTACGCAAGTACAAGCAGCCTAAAAGTATTAATCACACATGGGATGAAGATCAGAAAGGACAATTTCTTAATTTATTGGCTTCTGCCTCCACCTCGGATACATCCGCTGTACACCAACCTGATACGGATGAGCTTAGTATAGCTTCTATGTCTTCCGATGGGCCTGGGGGGATCGATGTCTTGGGCGGATGCAGGATTGACGCGGGGGAGTCTCACGGGGCGCCAGTGGAGGTCTCCAGGGTTGTGTCCCTGGAGAATTCTATTGCCAACTCCGATGATGATGCTCCTGAGGAACCTGTTTTGGCCCCGGATGTGGATTCTACTGTGGACCTGGCGGGGGATCCTGGGATTCCGACTTTAGGTCGCCTTTCTCCATCATTTCTCTCTTTTGAGACCTTTCAACGTTTTTTACAGTCGAGAAGCTCCAACTCAGCCCCAGGGTTGGATCAAATATCCTATGAGCATTTAAGAAGTCTGTCTCACTCGGCGCTTGTGGCTTTCTTCGATATCCTGTGTAGTGTTTGGTCAAGTGGCAAAATTCCAGATGACTGGAGGAATATTAAAATCTCGCCAATCCCAAAACAGGGAAAGGACCCCACCAAGTTAGAAAATTACAGGCCAATCTCTCTTCTTTCGGTGCCTCTTAAATGCCTTGAATCAATGTTGAAGGAATCAACTCAAAGTTTTCTCGAAGCAAATCACGTGTTCCCTGCCCGGTCATATGCGTTTAGACCGGGCCACTCTACTTCCATGTGTATTAACGACCTAATCAATACGGTCTATGCGTTAAAATCGAGGGGTTTCCAAGTGTTAGGTTTCTGTGTCGATGTTGAAAAGGCCTATGACTGTATGAGGGCGGATATATTGAAATCAAAACTGGATGACCTGGGGGTGAATGGCGCGATTACCTCGTGGATTGTAGATTTCCTCCACAGGAGGAATCTCGTCCTTGGTTCTCGCGTCGTCTCCGTCAGCGGTGGTCTAGCTCAGGGAAGTGCGTTAAGCCCAATTCTTTTTAATGCATACACAATTTCATTACATGCTATTCAGTCTGATAATTGCATTTTATTCCAATACGCAGATGATTTCTTTCTGTTGGTTTACCATAGGGACTTTGAATCCGCCAGATGCATTTTGGATTCGAAGATTGATGAATTCGCTGCTCGGTGCGGGGAGATTAACCTTCGCTTTAATATTAGTAAAACGTCTGCAGTCCATTTTAATAGGAGAGTTCGAAACCTGAATCTGGTTCAGAACGGAGTTGGTATTGAGCAGGTAAACAAAATTAAGTACTTAGGCTACTTTGTGGCATCCAATAACTCCGCAAAGGAACATGTTCAAAATGTCCTTTCAGAGGTAGAAAAGAAAAACAGGTATTTAAATATCTTAGGTGGTTGTAACAGGGGCATAGATCCACGTAAATCCCTGCGCCTTTACAGGGCATGTGTTAGGTCCAAGTTAGAATATGCATCTGCGGCCCTTGCCAATGCTGACAAAGGTTCCGTTAATAAAATTAAGACCTCGATCAACAACTGTTTGAGAAAATCTCTTGGCTTAATAAGATCAACGCCGGTCCCATGTCTCTACCACTTGTCGGCAGAGCTACCTCCAAATTATAGATTTTGTCTCACGGCAGCAAAAGAATTGGTGAAGTCCTATGCATATAAGCGACCTATTGTAAATACCCTCGGGAATCTGTCCCACCCTATTAACACTGGCATTTATAGAGTACACACAAAATTCAAAGATATTCTCCAAAAAGTCGGGAAAACTTCCCCATTAGGAACGGGTACCCGGATTATAGTGGTTGATGACGTGTTTTTCAAGGGAATAGTTACAAAGAAAGCTGACGCGGATTCTTTGATAATTGGGCAATTATATAATGAAAAAATAAATCAGTTAAAAAACAAAGGTTTTGAAATTTTCTTCACAGATGGTTCCGTTTTTTCCGACTTCTCTGGCTCGGCCTTTATTCATGAAGGCCCTGGTATTGTGTTCTCGTATTTCGGGGACCTGGCATTGTCCTCAATGTCGGCCGAACTTATAGCAATAGTCAAAGCACTTGAATATGCAGCTAACAATCAAATTCGAAAATTAGCCATTCTTTGTGACTGTCTTAGTGGTCTTGTAGCAATAAAAAACAATCAGAGGGGAAATTATCTTGTTGACAGAATTAATTGGCTAGCTTCGGAACACTTTGAGGAGATTGAATTGCATCATATCCCGGGGCACTGTAGTATCCCACTTAATGAAACAGTTGATCAAGCCGCAAGAATGGCGAGAGAGATTGGCTCGCAGATTGAGACACCCTTGACTATCTCTGACGCAATTAACCATATAACTCACGACCTGTGGATAGAATGGGCAAATGAGTATAAAGAAAGAGGATTGTCCGGCTCCTCCCATTACTTCACAATCTTCCCTGAAGTCACCAAACGACCATGGTTCCACAATACCACATCTACCCCTTTGGATACAAAAACACTCAACAGAGTTGTCACAAACCACGCCTTTTGCAATGCCACCTTGGAAAGAATGAAAGCAATTCCTTCTGCCCTCTGTGAAACTTGTTGCACTGAGGAAAATGTCGACCATATCCTATTTCAGTGCCATCGCTTCTCGTCGGAAAGAAATTCTAATCACTATATGCGGAGCTCAAGATCCACTGTGGATTTCATCAACAAACATGGGATTAAAAATCTTCCTGCCATTGCTGAATTTTTGCACAAGATCAAATTTAACTTGTAAACACCTGCTCTAAACATTAACGACCTAGCGGAACCCTCCCGATTGCTTGTTGTGGCGTTATCTGGAAATTGGCCAAGTTTCAACTTTCTAAAACCAAAAAAAAAAAAAAAAAGACGTCCGACTCTTGGTGCAGAAAAAAAATTAATTGCTCTGGTTTCTGATAGATAAAGACTAAAGGTACTTGATCGGACCCAACTATAATTGTTATAGCTTTGTATCTCTTTTTGTATCTCAATGTGTAAAATTTTGTGGGGAGTCATAAAAATCCGGAAGGGAAAATGTGTGCAGCGTGAATAAACATCATTTTGAGAGGAGATGTAAATGTTCTGTTGGGTGTGTGACTTTAAAATGAGAATTCGAGCTGCATACAGCTACAGACCAAGATCAGGCTATGATGCTTTTATTTGTCATATGAGTGCAGCTAGGAAGCATAACATAAACAATAGAGCAAATGGTATGCAAAATAGTTGGCTTCTAGGTGGCTAAGCTTTTGATGATGCCCTATACACAAGTGGATCATCGATCTTGTCAACATTGATAAAATAAAGTGCACACCACTGCAAGAAACATTATTGAAAGGACTATTGGCAATCTTAAGAGTATATTTCGATATTTGCAAAGCAATGCTCTACATTATAATCCTGCATTTTCATTACTTATAATAGAAAAGCTACGTTCTTTTTTAACTTGTGTGTGCTCAGAAAAACACGTACAATTTCATTTAATTTTCGATCCACAATGCTACATATGCTCCAATTATATTCCCAATATTTTTTTGGATATTCGGAATGGAACACACCAAATGTGGGAAAACGTTTAACATCCCAGCAAACTCGAAATGCAGCACATGGGCGATTCAAAAACATAATCTGTATTGCAAATCAAGTCTTCTTTAGAAAAAATATATTTGTTATGTCATCAGTATTTACTTCAGATTTATGCATGACACAAAAGCGTGGACTTTGCATTTTTTTCAGATTCAAGCATAGACTTCTGGATGTATCTCTAATTACAGTCGAGTACGGTTATAGCGAACAAGTAGGGACTAAACAAATTAGTTCGTTATAAAAGAAGTTCGTTATATCCAAGTTAAGCAAAAACATAGGCTTAGCGGAAAAATATAAACTGGTAGGTTTTGTGTCCATTTTGACAATTCTTAAAATGATGAACTTGACATTACAGCTAACATTTTTGTAAAGATTTTAACGAAAAAATTAACTTGTATGAGGATTGTCATCGTATATTTGTAGCAAGTTTGTTAAATACAAATTTTTTCGTCAAAAATAAAAATAATTTCAGGAGTTTTATTTTTTCAGTCAGAAAATAAAACTCATTTTGTCTAAATCTATATACATATATAAATAAAAATGGAGCAAGAAACATGTATACTAACGCATCAATTAAGAACGCGTGGACCGATTTGACTCAAAATTTCTTTCAGTTGTCGGTAATTACAGTGGGAAGGTTTTTATGAAAGAAAATGTTGTGAAAAATCCGTGAAAATCTTGCAAAAATTATTTTAAAGAAACGGTTGGACCGATTTGACTTAATGTATCTGTTAGTAGTCTGTAACTGACGTAGAAAGGTTTTAATGAAAGAACATTTTGAGAAAAATCCGCGAAATGTTGCAATATATTTTGAAAGATATTAGCACATTTTGTATCGAACCGTTATGTTTCATCTCTTCGTAGTTCTTTTTGGACATATTGGGCGAAAATGGGCAGCGTTTATCTTTAAGTAATTGTCAATTATGGAAAATTCTCAAAATATGTTAATTTTCTACAATTTATTGGATTGTCATTGCCTTGAAAAAAACTATTGTATATGAAAATAAATTTACATATATTTTCGTTAGAGTTAAATGTAATAATAAGAAATCGAAAAGAGAGAGTAAGATTAATAGCTATCATTATTTGTTCACGTTTTCCATAAAATCAAGATTTTTTTAGTTTGAAAATATGAGTTATATTTGCATGGTATGTATAGGTTGTGAAATTTTTTTTAGTAAGTACAGTAAGACATGGTAAAGTAAAGATTAAGCGGTTCCATTATATGGAGCCTATACTAGAAACTATACCGGCAATTATGAGGGAATTTTCTTACCTTATAGGGATTACCGAGTTAAAGACAATTAAATAGATATTTTGTTTCTACTTTACAAGTACTTTAGGATAAGGATGCTTAAAAGCGCACAACAATGGAACACATTTTTTGAACTTATAAATACACACATAGCTGACCGAATCTTGATTGTATCTTTAATAGGAAACAACATCAGGAATATTTTTGAGAAAACTGCCAATTCGTAGACATATGTTTTTATGTTTTAGTAAAAAACGAAAACGCCTTTCAAAGTATTCAATACAGTTCAATAATGTTAGTAATTCGCTATATACGATTAAAAATACGTCAACAAAATACGAAGGTATTATTGAACATTTTCTTATATTCGGGAAGAATACATTTAAATGCGAATCATACGTGGAGGCAATTCCGCATTACATGCTGTTTGTGTCTAACTTATGTGTGCCTTTATTGTTCCTCAAATGTATTTTTAAAGATGTGAAAAATGTTTACATGGTGTATCGACTGTACCGATGTCACTCATGTTGTCCTTCGGCTATTTGTAATTGCATTGGGAAGTTTTTACGAAGTTTTTTTTACAAAGAAAAACATCAAAAAGTCGCGAAATTGGAATAATTGAACGTTGTGTTAGTTGCATCGTTTGTAACTCAAGAACGTCTACACCGATTTGACGATTCAAAGGACTTATAAATCGTATGTGGTCGGAATAGTAAAATTTGTAATCTAATAGTGAGATTCCGCCAAAACAAATATATAAGGTAATATTTACAATCCCCCAATTTTTGTATCGAGAAAATCTCATTTTCATATTTTTTTTGACAATGTTTCTTTTTTTGGCCGACAACTTGAAATTTGGATATGGACCTATGTAGCCTTAAACAACAATTTATTCAAATGTTAAATTAAAATCAAGTGGTTAAAAAATGTGAGGATATAACTAATCCGATTACAAAATTTCACGATTTAGAGTTAAGATATAAAAAAGGCATTTACAATTAAAAGAAGGTATACGGCGTCAACATTGGCCAAACTCTTAATTAACAATTTATTTAAAAATGAAATATACCTATAACTGAGTGGAAACCACTAAATTTCTATGCCAAATCTAAAATTTCCAATATAAGAATCAAAATGACAGCTGGACAAGAACAAAATCATATTATCATATTATATATATGATCTTCTATTAAAACATTTGGTGAAATATATTCTACCAAATTATAAACTGTTATGTGCTTGGGCCTGCATAGGGGTACCAGTTAATACTTTTTATAGACATAAACTTAGTGACATAAACTAAATGGTTTTACCAACCTTATATTGATGCAATATTGATAAGGCAAAACAACGTTTGCCGGGTAAGCTAGTACATTTATAGAATTTTTTATCAGTTATATATGACACAAATGGAGTTCCCGAATTACATTTGATATGTTTTGAATAACATGTGAAAAGAGTGTATACCTTTTTCAAATTGTATTCAAAACATTTTAATTTAAATTCGAGAATTTCATTTGTAATTTGAAAAATCAATTTGCAATTCATAACATTTAAGTAGTAATTCGAGAATGTAATTCACAACATTTCATTTGTAGTTTTAAACTTTTCATATGAAATTCAAGAAATACATTCGAAAATTAAAGATTTCCATTTGTAATTTGTATATTTCCATTTGAAATTCGAAGAGTTTCATTTGAACTTCAAAGAAAATAATTAACAATTCAACGAAATCTATTTGAAATTCATAACATTTCACTTTTACTTAATAATATTTCTGTTGTAATTCGCAACAATTCATTTGCAATTCATACACATTCTTTGTGTGTTGCCAATAGTATTTTTCGAATTCAAAATTGAATGAAATGTTATAAATTTCAAAAGGAATTTTTACCAAACGTAGATTTGGTTTCATGGTATAATAATAAAAGGTAACAGCAAGTCCCAGATGATTTGGTTCGTACGTTCTATTAGTGTCAAATTCAACATTTGACATTTTGTCATTGTATTTTGTTTTTGTCAAACGTTTTTTCAAAAAAATTTTTTTTTTGAAATAAATATAATATAAAAATACAAAATTTGAATTTTTATTTGCAAAGAAATCGGTAAGTATAATAAAATATATAGTGAGTGAAAAACTAATAATGTTTAATTCTCTAGACATGCGAAAGTGCGTTTTGTGCAAAAAAAAGAACCAAAAGAGAAAGGACCTTTTTTCAAAATCCCACTAAATCCAAAACGCAGGCAAGTCTGGGCTAACATTTGTGGGACGGATTTTAGCAGAAACGACTGCATTTGTTTTGACCACTTGTGTTTTTCAAGGAAAGTTTCAATTCCAGTTATAAACATTTTTAATTTTTGCGAGCTGACCTATAATTTTAGGTTTATAGATTAAGAAAATATGCACAAACAATAACCAGGAGGCCGTGATTATTAGTCATACAATTTTTTATATCACTGGCACTTAAAAATAAGAATATATGTAAGGATAAACTTAATATTTTTTTAATTGTCGTAAACCCTTTTTTTGAAATTGGGATTTTTATACAGTTCGCGAGTTATGGGAAGGTGAACCTCAGCTTCAACGAAAGTACAACTTTTTTTGGATATATGTATTATTTATATATTGTATTAATGTGTTTATTTTTATCATTATTAAAATGTGTAATATGTTTTTTTTCCAGATTCTCAAAATCATCTAGAGAAATACTTCCTCAAATATGCGGATTACGTCAACATTTTCATAATTTCAAATATGTTATTTATCATTATATAATTTATAATTTCAAATCTGCATCTTTTCCTATTATTTAAACAGTATCTAATGCCTTAATTTCTTTTAATATTATAATTTCAACAGATTAATTTATTTATTTTATTATATGTTATATATATATATATATATATATATATATATATATAAATATATAAAAACATTATCTATTTATATATATATATCATATCATATCCATATAAAGTATATATATTTTTGATCAGGGTAAGACCCCTTACCGACCTGTCTGCTGTAATGTCGATAATTCTAGAATTCTAGGAGGTCTTCCGAATTACACACAGATTTTACTATTAGTTTTATATATGAAATATGTTTTTATCAAAGAGGTTTCGGATTTATTGCTGATAACATTTTATAAAACATTGGCCATTTGTGAGGGAGGTACCAGAAGCAGTGGACCAATTGGCCCCATCTTCAAACTTGATCTATTCTTGGTGAAGATAATTGGTTGTACATAGTTCGGTTCAATCAGACATTCCATTCGCCTGAAATTGGATTTATTAATATTGAAAATTTTGACCATTAGTGGGGGAGGTACCAGACGACGTGGATCAACGGGTCCCATCTTCTTGCCTTTATAAATATTGAAAATTTTTACAATTTGTGGGGGAGGTACTAGAAGGAGTGGACCAAATGGGTCCCATCTTCCTACATGATCTAGGCTCGGTAAGGGTATTAGGATGTACAAAGTTTCATTAAAATCGGATAGTCCGTTTGCATGTTATTATAAAATTAATTTTTAGCACAATTTCGACCATTTTGTGGGGGAGGTTTCAGAAATAGTGGACCGATGGGTCCCATCTTCCTACTTGATCTAGGCTTGGTAGTGCAAATTTTGGTTCAAATCGAACATTCCCATCTCCTGATATTGGATTTACAAATATTGAAGATGTTGACCATTTGTGGAGGAGGTATCAGAAGAAGTGGATCAAAGGGACCCATCTTCGGACATAATCTAGACTTCGTAAAGAAAATGGGTTGTGCAACGCTTGATTCACATCGGACGTTCCATACTCCTGATATTGGATTTACAAATATTGAAGATGTTGACCATTTGTGGAGGAGGTATCAGAAGAAGTGGATCAAAGGGACCCATCTTCGGACATAATCTAGACTTTGTAAAGAAAATGGGTTGTGCAACGCTTGGTTCACATCGGACGTTCCATACTCCTGATGTTGGATTTACAAATGATGAAGATGTTGACCGTTTGTGGAGGAGGTACCAGAAGGAATGGACCAAAGGGTCCTATCTTCATACTTGATCTATGTTTGGTAAAGATAATACGTTGTATGAAGTTTCGTTGAAATCGAGTTGTCCGTTTGCAAAAAGTATTTGAATTGAAATTGAAACATCAAAATATGTATGTATGTATAAATATTTTTTATTTGTTTTTGTTTACATTTCTACTCATGTGTCGATGACACTAGTAGTACTTACAAAAACAAAATTTCTTTGTGGTTGTTGTTTCGATTGTTGTACAACAACACTTGCTGTTACCTTTTATTATTATACCATGATTTGGTTTATATTTTATTGAATTGTTCGTGGAACAATAAATATTACCTATGCTACAGGGTTTGATGCTTTTTGATCGTGAACCAAAGAACGAGTGTAATTAAAAGCTAAGAGTCTAAACGCAACAATAGAGTCTAGTGTCAGTGAAAGTCGTTTGCCGTGTGTTTCTTATTGGCAACGGGAAATCGCGAGGGCTGAGAGTCTAAACGCAACCATAGAGTCTAGAGTCAGCGACAGTCGTTTGCCGTGTGTTTCTTATAGGCAACGGGAAATCGCGACGGCTGACGTTCGCGTCTAGCGGCATGACGCTAGAATAGATTTTATTCATTTTTGCTCAGCGTCATACTCAAAATTTCTCTCTTGCTCTCAATTGAGTTGCCATATTTTAGGTAAAAATCAACAGTGCTACCAAATTTCAATGAGAATTTATATCAAAACATATGGCAGTACTGTTAAAAAAACAATTATTTTCAAAGATTGTGGATGTTTTTTAATGAATTATTAATAAAATGGAAGAAAAATAATTTTTTTCAATAATTTTATCCAAATTCCTTGACATTATTGTTTATTAAATAATAAATTGATTTTGGTTTGCGCAACGTAAAATTTTCTGTCAGAAAATCAAAACAAATAATTGACATTTTGTGCCGCTAACGCCAACTCTTCCGTTTGGTTTTCACGGCGGCGAAAAAGTATGACGCTGACTCGTGACTCTCTGGTTGCGTTTAGACTCTGACGTTCGCGTCTAGTGGCATGACGCTAGAATAGATTTTATTCATTTTTGCTCAGCGTCATACTCAAAATTTCTCTCTTGCTCTCAATTGAGTTGCCATATTTTATGTAAAAATGAACAGTGCTACCAAATTTCAATGAGAATTTATATCAAAACATATGGCAGTGCTGTTAAAAAAAAACAAATATTTTAAGGATTGTGGACGTTTTTTTAACGAATTAATAATAAAATGGAAGAAAAATATTTTTTTCAATAATATTATCCAAGTTCCTTGACATTATTGTTTATTAAATAATAAATTGATTTTGGTTTGCACAACGTAAAATTTTCTGTCGAAAAATGAAAACAAATAATTGACATTTTGTACCGCTAACGATAACTCTTTTGTTTGGTTTTCACGCCGGCGAAAAAGTACGACGCTGACTCGTTACTCTCTGGTTGCGTTTAGACTCTAAGATGTGACAAAGCGGCGCTTTGACATAGTTACTTGTTAGATTTTGCTACTACTTTTTGTCATTAGTACGAAATACTCAAAGACGTATATAAAGGTAGTGAACAAGATATAACGATGGATTAGAATTTACTTTAATTCAAATGAAATTATATTTCAAATTAAACATTGCCGCCCGCGTTGCAACATCTTGCTGTGTTGCAAAATTAATATAAGTAACGTTTGGTTTGTTAATTTTTTTCTTTGTTTTTTTTTATAGATTTTTCGAAAAACATGTTAATTCTAAAGTTTTGCTCGACAAGCAGGATCGTGCAATATCTCGTCAAGATGGGATCCGTTAACTTTTTATTATCAAAGGACTCGCAGAGTCTTGCGGCTAGGCAATTGAAGATTGCCCATCGAGTGATGATTCAATACTACATGGAAAACCAGTGCTAGAATGAGTTTTGTGGTTTCATTCATTGTGTTGAACCTCTGGGCCTAGTATCATGCTGACCGTCGCAGCTTCGTTGGACCGAGAATCGGCAAGTTGCAAGCCAGCATGATATTGGTTAAGCCGCACGGACATGGACTCCGAAGGAGCAACGATATGTCCCAAACCAATGACTCTCGCTGAGAGCTGTATGACTCTGGGAGAGTGGTGGACTGTATGATAAAATCTTGCTCGCGTAAAGCGTTTAAATTTGTATTAAAAAAAGTAACACTGGCCAACTGGTATGAAGTCCCGGAATGTAGATCGTAGAATCTACATTTGCGTAGCATGTATATAGGAAAAAGTGTAGGCGATGTAATCTTTAGGTTTTCCGTGAGAAAACTGACCTAGCACAATTATTTTAGTTACTATCGGCAGCTATGGATAAAAGGGAGCATAATGTTACCCTAAAGAGAAGGACGTAAGTAGGAAGAGGGCATTGGACCAGTAATGATCCAACCGAAAACTGTACTCTGGGTTATTAGCGAGCCTAGTACGTTGGAACGTGTACCCTGTAGCATGATCTTCGGATAAAGATCTGCACCAAGTAATATGTCGACAAGACGGGAAGAGAAGGGATGGGGGTCGGCCAAACGTAGATTTGGCAAATTTGATCGAATGTCGGTTTGTGCGGTGAAGGAAGGCAGATTTTCTGCGATTTTTGGAAGGACAAAGACTTTAGATTCCATTGATTGCGTAGCATCAATGGGAGAACTAATACGGACTTGACATTCTTTATTTGAAGTAGTTGAAAAAAATCCACTGACCCCAGAAATAGTGGAAATGTTCGAAGTTGTGGGTGTGCCTTTTCGATTTCGCATTTCTTCAGAACTGAATGATGCTTCAGAAGCAGGGTCAATAAGAGCTCTGACTTGGTACGTAGTACCTTTATGAACTATATGAACGTTTGCCGTTCCTGACAAGATTTTTCTATTCTGGGTGGTATGAAATACCTGTCTATTTGAAGAAGGTGGTGTAATCCCTCTCGATGTAGAGAGGGATTACACCACTGGGGAGAAACTACATTACGAGCTTGTGGTGTTGTGGCCGACGATTACGAACCAGCAGTGGAAGGTTCCCTGTCCAAAGAGTATGGTGTCTTTTATTACATACCCTACAATTATATGGGCTACTGCAATGGTTGACCAGATGTTTAGCTTACAGACAGTTTACACAGCAATTTTGTCGTTTAATGGTATTTAGTCCTTCAGGGACTGAAAGTTGTAAAAATTTTTGACACATTCTTAGGTGATGTATTTGTCGTGGACAAATAATGCAAGACTTATTGGGAGAGGTACAAGATTGCCTAGAAGATGGAGGCGAGTTTCGTGGAAAAGTAGGGGTTCGATTCGTGTCAGCATTCGTGAAATGTGAACGAACCTTTTTTTACTTGATTGATTGACGTTGTCAATACCACGAATGTCACGTAGGCAAGTAATGGTTTGGATACGTTCTGTAAGAAACTTATCCAAATCATTCCAGGTAGACAAAGCGGACTTATCTTTGATGCTTTGTTCCCAAAGAGTGACGCAATTTTGTGGTAGCCTCTGAAGACATATGAACACTAGAATAGCGTCCCAGTCTTCTGTGGAGACGTCATAATTTCACATGGATGATATGCACCCATTAATACCCCTTTGCAATTGTTTTAGGCCGGAACTAGTCTCATTATATATAACAGGCAAATCGAATAAAAGTTTAAGTTGGTGGTTCACCAAGATACGTGGATTGTCGTACGTACGCTTTCCACGCAAGACCAAAATTTGTGTTGGTAAGCGAAAACTTAGCCACAATTTCATGGGCGTCGCCACTGATGCCAGAATTGTTAATATATACGGCGGAAAATAAATCCCTAAATGTAGGCCAATTAAGGAAGTCGCCATCAAAAACTTCTATGTCACAGGGCGGTAAGTTTAGCCTATGAGCAGAACTATCATCACAGGATGTGTTATTTAAACCAATTTGTTGATGCGGAGCATTTGAATTGCCCTGAGGCGGAGCCTCATCTAATTTTCTATTGATTGAAGACAGAACCCTAAGGAAGCAATTATAAGCGACATCGCATTTGGTTTCTGCAGCAGTGAAATGGTCACTAGAACAATCTTGTTCTGTCAAATAATTTTGGCATTTGTCGTACGTGGTTTGTACCTTTTCCCATAATCTCTTAACCTCAGCTCCCTGTAATTCTAAAACATAGACATCGAGCTCGTCGTCCCGTGGGGAACTGAATTTGGCGTCAAATTTTACCAAAGCATCAGTAGCTCGGATGAATAAATCTAGAGGAGTGAGTGGCATTGTGAAATTGAAAATGTATAGATTTCAGAAAAATATGGGAAATTGAAAACTATATTTTTGTAATAATAAATTTCAAAATTTAATTTGTTACACCAAGTAATTTGTTCTGAATTGTTTGAAAAACAATTGCAATTTATAAGCTTGCACGAAATGCAATAAATTTGAAGATTTTGACACGTGATGTCAACAAATGTAATTGAAAATCTACAAATAAATTGAAATTTTCCAAAGAAATTATAAAATAGCACGTGATACTGTAAATCAAATGTTGAAAATAAACTGAATTTATAAAAAGTCGTGAACTTTTATCTTTATTGTATCGTGAATACAACAAAATGTGGTTTAACGTGATTAAAACCAGCAAAAATTTAGAAATTTTAGGGAAAAAATTAAAATTCAACTAAAATTTCTTGCAGTGTATTTAGGATTTCTCAAAAATTTTTGCAGTGTATCATATAATACACGACAACAATGGCAATGTATCGAAGATAACTATTGCCCACAAAAATATCTTTGAAATATTATTAAGAGTCGAAAAACTCGGAAAATTTCAAAAAATCACTAAAACTGATTGAAGGTTGCACGGACTGTAAACTGCACTCAAGCAATCGGTAACGGACAACAACAAAATGTATTTTAAATCAAAAAATATTTTCAAATAAAAAAGTAAATTTTTTGATAAATATAATATGAGATATTATATATTAAAATTAAATATATTTATATAAATAATGCCGAATATAGGGTGCACTCTAGTGAAAACGTAATTAAAATTTATTTTCAGTTGATATCCGAAGGATTCAACTCAAAAAAATTCCGGAAAACAGCACTAAAATATTTTTATAAATATTCATACAACTTTTTGGGACGTGTGAACACCCCTAAGGAAACTGATCATATGTTTCCAACAATATGTCACATGTGATAGTGACGGGTGGCAACAATCAGCAGAGATGACAATCGCTCTCTCATGTGAAGTTGTTATTGTTTTTCTGTTTCTTCGTTGTTTGTCAAACAAGAAGAAGAATAAATGAAAAGCACAACAATAAAAATGAAATATATAAAAAATTCCGTGGAACACGAAAATGAGTGAAATAAATGAGAGAATAAATAAGAAATTATATCTCTGTGTTTGTTTTGATGTTTTGTTGTTGTAAACAAATGTGTGGGGATGACACTTGATGTTGTTTTTTAGCAATGTAATTTACCGACGGCAACGGACGGACATTTTTGCGCTTTGCTATTGCTCGTTGTAAACGACCGACGGCTTTTTACTTTATTAATTATTTATCACAACACAAATATATTTGTAGCACTTTTATTCGAAAAATAAATTAAACAGTGTACATACCTGTGTTGTTGAAAAATAATTATTTTTTTAAAAATAAATACGATTTGTTGTGGTGATCGTGGATCTTTGTGCAGGGTTTGTTGTTGTCCTCGACGATGTCGATGTTTCCCTTCATGAAAGGAGAAACAAAGGAGAGGGGTTTGTTTTCGTCAAAAACAATCCGGCTCGATTGGACCAAAGAAGAAGAATAAATGAAAAGTACAACAATAAAAATGAAATATATAAAAAATTCCGTGGAACACGAAAATGAGAGAATAAATACGAAAATTATATCTCTGTGTTTGTTTTGATGTTTTGTTGTTGTAAACAAATGTGTGGGGATGACACTTGATGTTGTTTTTTAGCAATGTAATTTACCGACGGCAACGGGCGGACATTTATGCGCTTTGCTATTGCTCGTTGTAAACGACCGACGGCTTTTTATTTTATTAATTATATATCACAACACATGGTACAAATATAAAAGGTAACAGCAAATCCCAGCTGATTTGATTCCAACGTAATACTAGTGTCAATATGAATTTGACAAATTATGTTTTTAAAAATCACCCCACAGGAAAATTGGGAACACATACAATTTGTAATTGTTCTTTATTAAATGTGCTCCCGTATTCAACTTACTCAATCTACCTGCTGGGAAAGTTTGAGGAAGCAAATCTTTCTTCAAGGAACAACTCGCTATTCCCTGCCTTTTCATATGTGTTACACATATATTTGGCAATGGCTCAATTATAGGAAAGATGTGGAAGCGATAGAAATATAATTTTGATAGATTTTCATTCATGTTTTTCAATTTTTATTTTGAGGATTCGAAAATATTTCATTTTAAAAATAAAAATAATTTGATTATAATTTGTTTGTTTACATTATTCTGTCAAATGAGTTGACACTGGTAGAACTTACAACAACAAATTTCCATGTGGTTGTTGTATCGTTTTTTGTACAACAACACTTGCTGTTACCTTTTATTATTATACCATGATCACAACACAAATATATTTGTAGCACTTTTATTCGAAAAATAAATTAAACAATGTACATACCTGTGTTGTTGAAAAATAATTATTTTTTAAAAATAAATACGATTTGTTGTGGTGATCGTGGATATTTGTGCAGGGTTTGTTGTTGTCCTCGACGATGTCGATGTTTTCCTTCATGAAAGGAGAAACAAAGGAGAGGGGTTTGTTTTCGTCAAAAACAATCCGGCTCGATTGGACCAATGTTTGCGTTGATGCAAAATATGAAAATAAAGAAATAACACAATTGTTTAGAATTTTTTACCAAACGTAGATTTGGTTTATGTTTTATTGAATTGTTCGTGGAACAATTAATATTACCTTTGCTACAGGGTTTGATGCTTTTTGATCGCGAACCAAAGAACGAGTGTAATTAAAAGCTAAGATGTCACAAAGCGGCGCTTTGACATAGTTACTCGTTAGATTTTGCTACTACTTTTTGTCTTTAGTACGAAATACTCAAAGACGTATATAAAGGTAGTGAACAAGATGATGAACAAGACGATGGATTAGAATTTACTTTAATTCAAATGAAATTATATTTCAAATTAAACACACATGTTATTTAGAATTCTAAAATATAATAGATACAATCAATGCACACCATTAAACGTTTTGTTAGCATACGTCAATTTAATAATATATAGCAATTTTTGCATTACATCGCTTTTTCCAAATATTTAGTTAACCACCTTTCTATGACAGGGAGATTTATTTCACTCCATTTGGATTCTTCTTTAATATTTCTCATGGATTTTTCGATTATGTGTAACGCACTGCCAAATTCGTTTTTATGGTCATCATATAGCTTTCTGACCATTTCATATCCCTCTTCCGTTGTGAACATGCCAGTGGCTGCACCCACTAAACTATCCCATAAATTAGTTTTGTTTTCAAACCTGTAAACAACACGGCAAATAATAATAAATAGTTGTGGCAACAAATGAGTTGCGAATGCATTCCATACCTCTGTCTAATAAGGGCCCAGTTGTCTGCCAAAAAGTTAAACAGAGTTCTATAGCCGCATGATCCACCGCTGAGCATATTGAATATTAGAAATATATCGTTTTCCGTGAAATTCGTATTTCTCTCGATGATCGTAATATTTAGGAGTTGCAAAATTTTTTCGGAATGTACAGGACAACCTGCTAGGTTTTTTAACAAATACGTTCTTTCGCTTTGTGTTCGTGATTTTGGAAAGTTAATTACACGTCTCAAGCCGAACTGCCATTCTTCCATTGAACCCCATTTAAATACTGGACATAGAAATTTATTCGGCACCCTAATGTAGTATTGGAGTAATTATAAATGTAACGTTCCATTTAGGTTTACTTACATTATCTTCTCATCAGGGTTGACACTATCCATCCACAGTTTAAATGATTCTCGTGCTTCTAGTATACACGGTTTGTATCCCGCACGACAGAGAAACGTTTCAGCCATAGATTTCAAATCAGACAAGGACTGATCGGATGTATTAGATCCACTCGTTTCAATATATAATGGTGTCAATAGGTGTATAACGTATTCCTAAAAAATTACAAATAAATTAGAATCAGTCGATAAAGAATCAATTGAAAAAAACTAAACTTAAAAAACAAATCAAAAATCGTTAGTCTCAATAAAATTTAAAAATAATATGTTCCCAATATGGTTAAATGTACATATATGTAGCTGTTCAGGTTAGTTAGTATTAAAGTGATATAAAGTTGCCAGTCAACTGTTAGTTTCATAATTTCTGTTGCAATTTTTTAATCTATATTTTCATAAGAAGTCGTAGAACACAGGAGATCTATACCCATTTTTATAAACATATATATTTTATAAACATATATGTATATATATATATATATATTTAGAGATCTTTGTGATCGTATCTATATGAATCGCCTAAATAAGCAAATAAATCGCGAGTTATTGACTTATAGGAATAAGTCTTGGAATAAAACTCAATCTGAATTGGACACCAAATCCAAACCCAAAATATAACTACAAAATAATCAATTTTATTATTCCCAGATAGATAAATATTACTCATTTCCTAAACAATCACAACATGTCTAATCATCTTAGCAAACCTACAACGATCCGAGGTTAATGCGATAGGAATGTTTATGATAATTACCTCAAAAACGTCACAGAATTAAACGCAATTGAATCAAATCCATTAAGCACGATATTAGAAAAGATTATAAAGCATAAGATTCTAAATTTTATCAACTCAAACGAAACAACCTGAAACAGCTCGGTTTCAAGAAAAAACGCAACACAACCTCTGCTTAAAATGATGAACATTGGTCTCCAAAAATGTTAATGAGGGAAAATATACAATAATGTCTTTATTAGACTTTAAGGCTTCTTTTGGCTCTCTTAGGCATAACCGACTTCTTCATAAATTAAAGAAACTTAATTTTCCCACGAAACTCATTAAAATAATTCAAAAGTTCTTATAAGGTGTAGAAGAACTTCCATGTAAAAAGTTTTGAATATATGTGTATGTATATGTATGTAATGAATACAAATGGAGGATGCTTATCGCCTATTTTATATAATATTTTTACTTCTAACATGCCATCACCAACTGGATGCTCCTCATTTATATTTGCTGATATTTTGTTCAGATTTTTATGCGACAGGAACTTAATGGTTTTTTTCCTCAAATGGAAAATTTTACTGGTCCATGATAAAACTGAAGCTATATATTTTACAAGAATGTCCAAATCGTGTTTTGTCCCACAACGGTCATTAATATTTAACAACTGCACAGTAGAGTGGACAGATACAAGATTAAGTTTTAAATATCACATTCCATTTATAGTGGACAAACTCAGTAAAATCACCAGACGTATGTATCCTCCAATAAACAGGAAATCTGAACAAAGTCTTGGAAATAAGAAACTCATTTCCAAAACAGTTTCTAACCGGTGAAGTACTAAATAAGATACTCAAAATTATTTACAATCTACCATGGCTATACTCAACTAGAAGTCTACATACCCTGACTGGCTTTGATTTGGTGCTGGATACAATAAACACATTGGCGAATAGTTTTAAAGAAAGATGCCGGCTTTCTCAATAGATCATTTGGGATTTTTTGCGATTTTTCCAAACATTGAAATCATTTGTAAGATCATATTAAATAACAACAAAAATTTTTTTAGTAGAACTTGTATTTAATATTCGGTCCCCTTTTCCAGGAGTGATTGAAAACTCGTTAAAAACGGGGTTAAAGCTGCTCAGAATATTCTACAGAAATGTTCACCATAAAGTTTTACTATAAGACTCAGCATAGACTAAAACTCAAAAATCAGCCTAAACGTCAAAAATCTTAAATAAACAAAAACTCATTTTAGGTTAATATCGTACATATTACTACTTTTTACCCATTTTTCCCACAAGATGTCGTTTTATAAGGATAGTATAAGGGACAAACATATTCTTCATCAATTTTTAGCTTAAGTCACTGAACAAGAGAAATCTGTACATATAATATATATACCGAATATATAGTCATACATTATGAACCAAAAATTCAAAATGTTCTTACATTTTTTTTTTCAAAGACATTTCCCAGTATTTTTTTCGACAAAGTGCATTAAAGTAACATGAAACTTAATTTTAGGCATATAATGTCAAAGAATAAAATATTGTACGTCAAAATCCACTTCAAATCTCAGAATAAACTATATATTTATATTCAATAGTTTTTAAGAAATTTACATTATAAAATTATATATAATTACAACAATTTTTTTGCAGACTTCAGTTAATTTAATACTGTAAATTTCTTAAAAAACTATTGAATATAAATATATAGTTTATTCTGAGACTTGAAGTGGATCACTCCTGGAAAAGGGGACCGAAAAGACCCCTTTAATGAGTCGGTTGAGGGTTAAAGTTGCATACCAAATATTCCTCGATATTTTATCAGTAATATTGCCGAATACACTATATACCTAAAATGCAAGGATTTCAAGAAATCATAATTCGAAAATTATCAAAATACTTGAAAAGGGGAAATATTGCCCCGCCTTTTTAGGGGGGGCAAAAAGGCCGATACACGTGTCTTCTTTTTTTAGCCCCTCTTTTATAATCGTTTGGAATTTCCCGGTAATTATTTTTTGTGTTGCACAGTGTAATTTACCATATTTATTTGAATTAATTTGTCTATTTTTTGAATATTTCTTTTGATCCATAAAATAAAAATGGACTGAAAATGCAAAAAAAAACATGATTTAATCATTTTGAATTGGACGGTATACAATATGTGAATATCAATATGCAAATATGAATAATATTAGAATCTATTGAAAGCTTCTAAAAACTTAGATGATCAACTACATATCTTGTTAAATTTTGTCATGTCAGCAGATGTAGTCAAAGAAAAATGCTGTAAAAATCACTGAAGACTTGACAAAGACAAACCAAAAACAAAATGCAAACAATTAATATACATATATACACCAACAAAACTCGTACCTCAAACGTTTCATGAATTTTTGAAATATCGATGTGTCTCCCAATATGGTCTATAAAAGTAAATACAGGATTCCACACAATGTGATTACGTTCCAGCTTCATGAAAAGAGTCATGTTCAATGCCGTTGCGAAATTTAGATCTCCGGCATATGCCAAATTCCAAGCATCATGTAATAGTTTTGCTCTACAACAAATAAATGGTTTAATCACAGACATAATATTCACGTGCCGATTATCAATATTTACCTTGTATACGTAGGAATAACACTGAGGCCTCTTCTTGTCTGCAAAAATTCTGCCAGTAAGTTCCAGTTTTTCGTATCGTAGTTTACAGGGAAAGGGCCTATTTCCTCAGGATTAACTATAATAAATTCGTCGTCAGTTGGCAAATCCTCCAATTGTTGTGTCTTCGTGTTTGCAAGCCACTTTACTGGTTTCGTACTCGAGAAATTTAAATCGTTTTCTTGTGCGACTACAAGTGGAATCCACCATAGCATTTTATCTTTTTCCGGGACGTCGTGGGGTCGTTCCCTCAAGTAGATCTTTTGTGTTACAAGGGCAGTTCTATCGCCATAATTTCGCTGAACGTTTACGACAGGTAAGCGATCCTTAATGACCCATGACCGCACTATTTCGGATATGTTATATCCCGGTGGCAGAGTATTATCAAGGACTGACTGTTTAGTAAGCGTGTCCCACAATTCATGTTCTCGAAATGTTCCGAATTTATTTTCATCTATAAATTTCCGTATTCCCTCTCGGAACAAATTATCACCTAATGTGTAGTTTAGCATTCTCATGACTAGTTCAGTTTTATATGAAGTTGTTTCTTGTTTCATGCCAGTAATGCGCGAGTGTGGATATCTCTTACTAAATTCATAGTAAAGGGAGTACAAAATAGTCATTGGGTATTTTCCATTGAATTCTTTCCCATTGTCAATCTGTAAACATAACGAAATTCTCATTATAACGTGCTTAATTAAACAAAATAAGATGTTTTTAACAGTAAAGATGCTTGACCCGTTAAGATTACGCTTCCCAGGATTTAAACGCACCTCGAAAACTGCATTCGCGGCCAAAAAACTCGCAAGAGCCTTGTTTACATGAGCATCATCCCACCAATAGGGCGTAACCCACGACCCTAGCCATTGATAAATCAATTCTTGTGCCAAGTGATAATAGCCGGGTTGAAGAAGTTCGCGCTCTCTTAAAAAAAGAAAAAAACAAAAACTATGAATGATATTGAGGCACACACATACATATGGCAAAAATATGTGATGCATATGCGGAAGAAGTTCCAAATTCCAAGAAGTTATTTAAGCATTGGATGTTCCAATGTTATGAAGTAACACCCATGCCTTTGTGGACTATAATACATTTTGATCTGAATTTTGTAATTTTCGAACAGTTTGTTCTTTTTTTAACAAATTATGTATTATGTTATGTATCGAACTTAAAGTATGTCATATGTATATTCAGTGTAAGGGTTACATTTGCGCCTATTAGTTAAAATTTATAAAAAACCAAAAATTAGAAAATAAATAAATTTATGAGAAAAATTTATGACGTTTTTTTACTATTTACTTATTGCTATAAAAAATATCTCCAAAGGTATTCTTAGACTTAAGGAATCCACAAACAAAGTTCGGCTCAGCCGTTTCAGATGAAATATATTAGATATCATCACAGTAAAAAGTTTTGGATTAATTTTTAAATTTAGCGGAGTTAAATTTAAACTTCTCTGGAATTAAACTTAAAATTAATTCCAAAATAGTTTATATTTTAAACCATATGGTACAAATTCAAATACTTCAGGGAATTGTTTTACCACCATGAGACATTTGAGAGTTTTTTAATGCTTACTGGGTATAAAAATAACACCAAAATTGGATATAACTATTTCCATAAAAGAAAAAACTATTACATTTGGTTTAAATATAACACCAAAGAAGGAATTAGGAATTTGTTTCTCTTTAGTTTATTACTTTTAGTTCAATTTTAACACCAAAAAAGAATTAAATTTTTCTCATAGAAAAATTGTTTTCCTTAAAGTTTAAAAACAAAGAAGAAAAAAAATAAAAGATGAAAAAGAAAAATAAAAGAAGAAAAAGAAAAGTAAGAAAAAAAGCAATGTTCGTGAAAGTTAAAAGTTGTGGACAATTTTACATAATTAAGATTTCTGATCCAGAAAGTGAGGATTTCACTCCGAAACACTTTCAAGTGAGTAATGCCTACAAGCGTTTACCAATGAAATACTTTGTTAAATAATGTTTTCAATGTTGTAAACAAGCTGAATCTTAATGTAGAAGGCAGAGCATTTGTGGTGAAAGATCGCGACGGTGCCGACATTGATTTTGAGGAGCTGACAGGAATAATATCACAGTACAGTTCCTGTAGTTGTTGTTTTTTTAGAGTTTTGCTTTGAAGAAACTACTTCAACAATCAGCAGCATACATTTTAAGAAGGTAAGTAGAAATCTGTTTGATTCCTTTCCTTTTTATACCCTTCACCACACTGTGGTATAGGGTATTATGTCTTTGTGCATATGTTTGTAAGAGGCAAAAGGAAACGAGATAAACACATGGTTCCTTGTGAGAATATGCATAGAATCACTTTCTGAGTCGATTTATGCATGTCCGTCCGTCTGTCCGTCGGTTGATATTAAATTGTAAACAAAGTACAGGTGGTCGCATTTATAATCCGATCTGGATGAGATTTGGCGCAAGTCACTTATTTGGACCTATTTAAATTGAAGAAAATCGGTCCATATTTTGATATAGCTCCCATATATAGTTTTGTCCGATTTAATGTACATGGTGAACCAAAGTCCCTATATGTCACTCGATTTGCACCTGAATTAGGCCTAGAATGATGTGTGTTAAGTATCCTGAAAATTGGTTCAGATTTATATATGGGAGCTAATATAGATTTGCCTAATTTTACTCGATTTCATTTGAAGGGTATCATATAGTCGGCCCCGTCCGACTTTTGAACTTTCCTTGTATAGAAATTGTATTACTTAATTTATGTTCTTATACAATAAATGAAATATATATTAAACAACTAACGACTAAATTTGATTTATTTATAATTTGTTTTATTTATAAAATTTTATAGAAATTAAAATGGATCCATAAACATTCTGCCACTTATACTAAATTTTTCATTTGGTCAGATATAGGGTTGCTTCTTACAATGGGAAAAAAATTATATACATACCGATTTCAACTAAATTTTCCAGACGTTATGTTATAGTAACTTCAGTAAGTAGTGCAAAAATTTGTGCCGATTGGACCCACCTTGTTGAAGCATTTATATCCAACCTCTAGGTTATACTAACTTCAGTGCGTGTCAATTTTGTGTAAAATCGGACGAAAATATATATGTAGAAGCTATATCAAAATCTGAACCGATTTCAATGAGACTTTAGCCACAGTTCATTGTACAAAATTGTGTGGCAATCGGACACACAAATGCACAATATACATAAAATCAGAAGAAAATATATATGGGAGCAATATCTAAATCTGGGCCGATTTTCAGGAAACTTAACACACATCATTCTTGACCTAATTCATTACGCTATGCCAAATTTCGTGTAAATCAAAAGATATATAGGGACTTTGGTACACCATTTACATTAAATCCGACGAATATATATATATATATATATATTGGGGCTATATCTAATCTGGACCGATTTTCGGGAAACTTAAGACACATAATTCCAGACCTAATTCATTACGCCATGCCAAATTTCGTGCAAATCGAAAGATATATAGGGACTTTGGTACACCATTTACATTAAATTGGACGAAAATGTATAGGGGAACTATATCTAAATCGGGACCGATTTTCAGGAAACTTAACTCACATCATTCTAGACCTAATTTAGTACGCTGTACCAAATTTTGTGCAAATCGAAAGATATATAGGGACTTTGGTACATCATTTACCTTAAAAAGTACGAAAATATATATGGGAGCTATATCTAAATCTAAACCGATTTTTCTCAATTTCAATAGGGTTCGTCCTTGGACCAAATAAGTGACCTATGCTAAATTTCATCCAATTCGGATCATAAATGCGACCTGTACTTTGTTTACAATTTAACATGGACAGACAGACTGACGGATGGATATGCATAAATGGACTTGAAAGTGATTCTATGCATATTCTCAAAAGGAGTCATGTGTCTATGTCGTTTCCTTTTGCCTGTTACAAACATATACACAAAGACATAATACCCTGCACCACAGTGTGGTGAAGGGTATAACAACATCCTTTTAGCATACAATTCATTTGGTTGGGTATTGAAATAACAACAATTCGAGAATATAAAACATTCCGAATAGTATTAATCAAATTCTTATTAAGAATAAGAATAACACTTAGTTCGGTGTATAACTTATTCTACATTAAATTAATTCCTAGTTAGGTATTTAATATAAATATGTTGGTTTTATTTTAACACCAAAAAGGTTTAAGCCGTAATACATATTGGTGTTATTTTAATGCTCTAAAAAATAATAAACAATTCTCTCCCTCTCTCATTGTCTCTCTTTCAATCAATCTTAAAAGTATTCCATAATGGAATAGATTTAATTCTTTTTTGGATTTGTTATATATGCACACCGGCTCGGTATTAAAAGTAAAATAAACTTTTTTTACTGTGATGGTATAATAATATAAGGTAGACAGCAATTGTTGTTGTGCAACAATCGAAACAACAACCACATAAAAAGTTGTTGGTAGAAAGTAATACTTATAGGTATATTCGTTTACTTTTCCAGTAAGTATTTACTGAATAAAAATGGAAAATAGAAAATAAATGAATAACAGCAAAAAAATCTGTTATTTGTATTATTTATTTTTATTTTTACTCATCCATTTAATTGTTTAATGGTACAAAATCAAAACAAAATTTATCTATTCTCAATTGTAATTAAGATTATATATATATATATTTATCATGTAAATATATATGAAAAGAAATTACTTTCATAAATTCTATTTTCATATACTTTTAAATTACTTGTTTGATTTTATATGGGTATAAAATGAAATATAACTTACTTGAACATTATAAGGCCCCAATTGTCTGCCGGTTGCATCAACGAAAGTCCTGGTATTGCAATTACATCAATTTTTTTCAGTGGCAACGATGAATTGAAATATTCTTCCAAGTGATTGTATATGGTGAGAAGTTTTGAATAGACGCCCTGAAAGTAGTAATATTTTTAAATTAAATACATACATATAGCATCAAGACCACACACACACACTTAAAACGTTCAATAGAATAATGTCATCTACCAATAGACTAGATCTAAAACTGATATTTCGAGGGTTTTACGCTAAACTAAATTGTTCATTGGCCTGTTAAAATCATATAGATATTAAGTATTTTTTCGATATCGAAAAGTAAACATTGTTATCGCAGTAAAAAGTTGCAAATTTTTGCAGATTCTGGAACAGGCATTTTGTTATTTATGATCTGTTTCGGTATTCTAAAAGAGGCAACATTTGTTTGTTTATAAATTTATAAAGGGAAAATCGCAATAGAATTCGTTTAAAAAGAAGTTTTTTTGCGGTCTCGGAAACAGAGCAATTATTATATACAAAATATGTATTTTAAAATACAGTCGACATCAGTAGAATAAGGATGTATGGTTTAAAATACAAAGGATTAGCCAAAAGTCATTAAAATGGTCAAAAACTCATTAAAGTATCAAATTACAGTAAACAAATCGTCTGTCCGTCCGTGTATGTGTGAACACGTGCGCTTTTGTTTACAAATAGTGTGTGTGTGTGTGATCCTCCGTTCTGAGTATGGCAATTTATGTATGTGCGTGTGTGTGTGTGTGATCCTCCGTTCTGAGTATGGCAAAGTATGTGTTTGTGTGTGTGTGTGTGTCTCCGTTCGCAAACTGTGTTGATCGACGTGTGTGGGCGCGCTCTTGACCTTGAGTATGGCAATGTGTGTGCGTGTGTGTGTGTGTGTCCGTTCGGTTTAAGAATATTAGGGATGGCAAACTATGTGGGCATGCGCGGAGCTTACCGAAATGTTTACAAGGGGAAGGGGGAACAGATATGTGGAACAAAATATAGGGAATAACAACAACAACAACAGCATGGTTAGCGATAGAAATGGTCAGGGGCATGAAGAGACAGACGCAGTTATGTTTATTTCTGATCGTATCAATACCAATGTGTTTATGTTAAATCGAGCATTGTTGAGTGTTGGGCATGCGTGGAAAGGGTGGCAAATATGTGGCAAGGGGAAGGGGGAACAGATATGTGGAACAAACTATAGGGAAAAACATACAACAACATGGTCAGCGATAGAAATGGTCAGAGGCATGAAGAGACAGACGCAGTTATGTTTATTTCTGATCGTATCAATACCAATGTGTTTATGTTAAATCGAGCATTGTTGAGTGTTGGGCATGCGTGGAAAGGGTGGCAAATATGTGGCAAGGGGAAGGGGGAACAGATATGTGGAACAAACTATAGGGAATAACAACAACATATATTCAAAGCAATATATATGGGTTATAGGGTGCAACAACAACATGCCTGCATCAATTGTAGGATACAAGAGGAAAGGGGGAGGGGGATATGTACACCCAACACTTGTTGATAAGAACTATTGGGCACAAATATGTGACACAGCATAATGAATTTCCCAATCTTAAGCAACTATGACAATGAGTGAAAAGGGAAGAGGCAGGAACAAATATGTGTTTACGAAATGTTTGGGTACAAGAGGAAAAGGGGAGAGGAATATGTACGCTCCTCGTTTGACGATACTCATGTTTATATTAATACCAATGTGTTTATGTTAAATCGAGCATCTTTGGATGTTGGGCATGCGTGGAGCTAACCGAAACATTTACAGGGGGAAAGGGGGACAAATATGTCAAACAATCTTTACGGATAATAGGGAACAACAACAACATGCATGCATCGATAAAATGGTCAGCGGTATTAAGAGACGGACGCATGGAGTTGTATGATTTTAGAGACTGATGAATGCCAAAACCGAACCACAACATTATGAATTTAGCACTCTTATGGAGCTATGACACGAAGGGCATGGGGAAGAGGCAGGAACAAATTGACAATCGACATTCGGAATGTTTGGTTTCAAGAGAAAAAGAGCATAATGTGTTTAGCTCCACTCCTCTTTTCCTCTATTTTTAATGTGTCAATGAACTTTAGGTAACACCAAGATTAGCAGCAATGCAATTAAACAACTGAAATATTAAAAGGAAAACGAAACGGAAAACGGATTAAAATGAAAAGGGAAATATATATTTTCCTATATTCAGGGAAACTTTTAATAAATTTAAATGTTTGTGCAAAGACAAAGAAACCATAAAAGACTTGAAAAAATAGTTTATGAAAACACATGTAGGGAGATTCAAATCAGAGATTTGCACTTAAAATATAAATTTGCACTTAAATAAATCAGAGATTTGCACTTAAAATATAAATTTGCATTTTATATGCTTGCGATGTTGTGGTTAAAACGCTTAACATTGTTCGCTGATATATCATAACAACAGAAAAAACGCCATCTATTGCAGTTTGTCGACGTATGAGTTGCCGTATATTTATACTTTTATGTCTTTGGTTTATGTTGGGTTAGCAGACCCACTTATTAAATATGTATAGCAAATGGCTCAGCCTGTAGATAACGAGGATTAACTCTAATATTAAAGGAATCTGTGTTTGAGAATTATGTTATGGAAATAAGAGAGTTTTTTACTGTGTAGAAGTACTTTCTGTAAAACCAAAAAGAGGTCAGAGACTAACAAAGTGAACAAAAGTGAATACGCTGTGCGAAATTTCATCGTCCATGATATTTTTTAGCATCATGGACTATGAAAATGTACACAAAATGTACACTTTTATATATTGTGATATACAAGAATTGTAAGAAATTAGTTTACATAATTTTTCGATGTGTAGAAAAATGATGATTGGGTATTAAACAGTGGTTACCCGGCCTCATCCTCACAAATTATTTAGTTGAAAAGGAATATATATATATATATATATATATATTATATATATATATTATATATATATTATTTTTAATATGTGGTATGATATATATGAGCATTTATTTGACATATATGCAATGGAATTGACAATTTAAACCCACTGTTAACGAAATTCCGTACAAAGTAAATGTACAATAAACTACATTTTGTACGTTATATATTTTCGTATTTTGTCCTCTTTATTGTTAATTTAATTTGAACAAAGAAGAAAAAATTTGGTGGCAAGACTTTGTTAAAATGAGTTTTCATTATTTGAGAAAAAAAAACGACAAAAACGGAAGCACGAAGCAATATTCGTAGTTGCCTATTTAAATATATAGTCCTGCATACTATTGAGAAATTTGTCCCCTTGCGATTTTATTTGGTTTTTTTTAAGTTTAAACTTTCATTGGACGGAATTCTATGCATTGTGATCGGATGACTCTAAAATTTATATATTCACATATTTCTTTCTAATCATTTACTAAAAGTAAAATTGTGGAATGTAATGCTTATGAAAAGGATTTTGCGTAGAAGATGATAAAGGAAAACCTCATATATGTATTAATTATTTCCTATAAGAAACATCTAATGTATAAACTAATATAGAGCAAAGGATTATCACTGCAGACATTGGGTGCATACTTTAGGGGTAAATAAAAATGTATCAAACATATATGCGACAAATATAATTTTTTGTTTTCTCGCTTTCTTAGGTAGCAATTTCAATGTTTTCATAGGAATTGCACCTAATAAGCCAAAAAATTATTTATAATTTTAATGCCTATTAATATTCATTATAAATTAAAATAAAAATCATCAGCTGTAATTTAAACTTGCGTTTATAGAATTATTGTATAAAAACCCATTCCATGTTCATAATTAATATTATGAACGTAAAACTGTCAAAAACCGTTGGCGTAGTTTGGGTTCAATGGGTTTTGGTTGGTTGTTATAACGTGAAATTGGGTTCATTTGGGTTTGGTGTGGGTTTCGTTTAGGTGCGTTATCGGGTACATGTTTGCCATAGGTTCCTTTAGTCGCATTATAAATTACTCATTTACAATTTGTCTTGTATATGAATTAACAAGTATCGTGTTATTATTTTGTAACATACTCGTATCTTATTAATATTATTTATAATAAATATAATGTAACATTCTGATAGTCGTGTTATAATTTTGTGATATGTACTTTTACACATAATTTTTGTACATAAGTAAAATTCTAAATAAAACTGTTAGTACTATTTGAAGAATAAATGGATAGGAAATATATACAATATATGAAAGAAGTTGTATTTACAGTTGTTAATAAATGGGATTAGCATTTTATATATCTTCTACTCTCGTATAAATGTGAAATGTCGAGATGATTTTTTTTAATTTAAAATTATGCTTAGTTACGTTTTATATTGTGCTGATTCGGTCATGTACCTAAAAAACTACAACTCTACAAATATATGAAAGGAATAATATGGCAACACTAATTTATTAGAATATATCAATAAGAAAAAAACTCTATTTATAGGGTATAGACAAATCATGTCTTAGTAGTATAACAGAGACCATGGAAAACGAACAGTTGTTGAAAAAACTTGTTCATTCCAGAAATGAACTGAAGAAAAAATTCGAAAGCATTAAAATGGGAGAGGATGCTAGAACGACAGAACTAAATCGAACATTTAAACCCATAACAGAAGAGCTACAAAAATTAGTTCAAATAAAAAGAAAATATTCCTAAGTATTTGACACACAATACTGGAAATGTAGATGTTTCCATGGAACATGAATATACAAGTACTCCTAACAAGAGCTATATACATGAAATTAAAGAAGATGAAACACCAGAAGAGGATGATTTCAATTCAGATTATACACAATACCAACCAAATAACTATGATGAAACAAGAGACGAAACATTTTATTCTGATAATAATGATGACGATGATGATAACATGAATATTTCATATTTGAAACAAAGAAACAAACTGGATACTGTATATGGTCCACATAAGGATATAAACGGAGGTTGGAAATTCGGAGATAAACCATTAAAAATTAACAATGAAAAAATTATCATTGGAAACCAACATTGGGCGCTTACGCCAGGCTTGTTTGAACTACTCTTCCATCAAAAGCCAACAAATTATGATGCTTCCGAACTGGAGA